AATAAACGATTGATACCGGTACGTTTCAGATCACAGGGAACTAATTTTAATGTTTCTTAAGGTTGAAAATCACTAAAACCTTTCAAAATCTTCAGTAGCCTACTTTGTTACAATAAATAGCTGGTCCTTGGCAATGGAACGATATGTGCATCCTTCAAATATATCCAACAACATGGTTGGACCCAGTCTCTCATGATTACTTTCGACTGGCAAATTCCCCTATCATTGTTAATGATATCTAATAATAAAAGACCCCTCAGATAATTATCAGTTACCCTTTAAATTTGATTTATCAAAAAATACCAACACACTTTAACTAAAAGAAGTATCATGTATAGTTACAGTAACCATTTACATACATGTGAACTGTTTTTGAGGATCAAGTGGGAGATTTTTCTTCAAAAAGAGGGAGAATTTGGAATTGGCAATAAACAAAGAAGGAAGTTCTTACCTTTACATCAAAAATAGGGAGATATCTTTAATTTGTGAAAATACCCCTTATTTTAAGAAAAATGTTTGAAAATATGGCTGAAGAAAGTGGGAGTCTCCCGCCTAAAGTGGGAGAGTTCACATGTATGCATTTAGTTTCAGAGATAGGTAAATTTAAATTTAAACTAGGCTTTTGTGAGATAAATATTAAGGAATCATTGTCTTTATAATACTGCATGTTTGTAACATTGCTTTTCATTGGATAATCATGACGTTTATATATTTTTATATACATGTTAACTGTCAATTTATCAAGAAATCTCAGAAGATGCTTGCTGTATTATAGATTCGTTATAAATATTTCTGACAGGTTATAAGCCGCTCAGATTGTATTTCCAATCAACTGTTTATATAGGCCCATATAACTTGTCAAAATTCTTTATAACTAATAATGTAATTGTCCAAGTAGCTAAAATTGTATGTTGCATGGTCAGTATTAAAACTAGTCAATATTCAACCAAGTTGGCCCAACATAAATTTTATAATATATACTGAGTAAGTGGATTTTTCTGCGGTGACCTTATTTCTGCGTATTCTGCAGTCGGTTTCAGCACTGAAGAAATAAAAACCACAGAATATTTCTCCATGTTTTGGTTTTTAACCTATTACGACATGTGTCCTACATTATGAATTGTGTCTAAAGTAATAAAAATTACCGGATTATGACAGTTGGCGGTTCATCTAGTTGTATAAAATTGTTGTAATCTGTGTTTTTAAGGATGTATTTATTGCAAATTATGTCAATTATAAATTTAAATTGAAGATACCACAGGGATATATTTTTCACATGTCATTTCACTCAGATCAAAAGATGTATTTGTGTCTATTGTTGCGCATTAGATTTGTTTGCAAGCGAGTATTAATTATTGTACCGTTCTGGTGTGACTACAATAAACAAATGCAAATGCTATAGGTAGAGTATTGTGACTTAGACCACAGATATTAAATCACGTTTTGTGTAAAGAATGTGCCGCAGGAATAAAAACATGCCAAAATTTGGAAAAAACGCAGAATTTGGAGCCCGCAGAAAAACCTCTTATACGGTAATATACAAGTTTATGTCGAGGACAAAAAGACAAAGTCTAAAAAAGAAACTAAGGGCAATTTCTCCAAAATTAGGGAAGGGAGGGTTATAGTTCTTATGCACTGCACTTCTACTTAATGTGATCTAACTACCTACAAAGTTTCAAGTTGAAACCTTATATAGTTCTCTACCATATAGGTATCAAAATACTTTTTATACACTTACAGATATACATTTATTTTGCATTTGAAATTATACAATATTCATTAAAAGTTGATGTCAATCTTATATATATGGATTATCAAACAAGCTTATGAACAGCTGTTTGTGCTTGAAATTGGATTTTCCATGGAAAACAGTCTTTTAATAAGTTAGCTTTGTAAAATTGCCTAAATTCTGAAATTTTGACATTGAAGGTCAAGGCTATTCAAGTTTCATGGTCAAATTTCATTTGTTGATATAAAACTATGTTGTATCTGAGTATGAAGCCTAATGAGTAATTTTTGGACTAGGTTACAGAGAAGATAAATACTGTATGCACCCAACTTATCAAAGCTTGGGTATAGAGAATACACTGTCCATTTTCTTACCATTTTTAATCATCTACTTTGATTAAATTTACAAATAAAGCAAGTTAAACTGCTCAAAGAACTTTTATTACATAATGATATTAAATACATGTACATAAATAATTTTATATAAATATAAATGTATTGATAAATAGCCGTCCATAATTTGAAAGCACTATAATTTATATCACAGTTTATCATACAATGCAACAAGAGCAAGTTGTCAGTAGAAAGATATCAGCTGTCCTCGAGTTTCATCAGCATATTGTCAATCTCCCTGAAAAATAAAATATAAATGAAAATAATTAACAATAGCATGTGAAACCAACATGATTTTAACATATCATAGATCTACAAATCACTTTTTCTAATACAATTTTGTAACTGAAAACCTGGATATATCACTTCAAGGCATTGTGAACAGTCTTTGTACAATACAACTCACGGCCTTTGTACATTACAACTCATATCATAAAACTTCTGTTAATTAATGGGAAGACAAAAAAAGCATGCCCCCAATTGATGAACATTTTTAAAGACATTTTAACTGTGTCTGTTTTATACAGAAAAAAATATTGCAAAGAGTATTATATATCTAAAGTGTCTTAATTTAGCCTATGGTACCATCTATCCACAAAGTGCAAGTTTGACAATGTGCACAATCTACATAAAAGCTATAAACATCATGTTAACCAAAGCCCCCCCCCCCCCATTTTCTTTGGATAGTAGAGACCTTACACTGGGACTAATAGAGCCATTGTAGAGTCCCATACTTGTGGAGACAATCACCGTGAATGCCCCTGCGCTGTGTTTTCAGCAGCACAGTAAGTAACTGCTATTTTTGGCACAAAATATATCTGCTACAATGACTCCTCAGTGCAAGAACAACAAGATGTTCAATTCCCTCATTAATGGACAGACAGGCTTACAAATTACTGGTACTTAAATGGGAACATTAAACCTGTTAATCCAAGCACTTACTGTAGTTGTTGTTCATATTGAGATCTTTGTCTGCGTAACATCTGCAGTAAATTATCCTCACTAAAATCTTCATCAGATTCATATGGTACCTCTGAAAATGTTGATAAAATTATTTTAAAACAAATGCTGATCTTAAAAAAGAACGCTTTATCATGCTTGGGGTGAAATAAATGGGTTTGAACTGACGGCGCCTCAAAAAGTTATGTCATTGTATATGTACATGTATATATAAGAGCTGTTGGTAGGACAGTGAGCTCAACTAATGTACAAGTTCTAAGTTCAAAATGGGCAATAATCCTGTTAAAGTCAAAGCTAGAATTATGGGCCTTGGATAGTAGCCTTATTATACTCTAAAAATAAGTGTGTGAAGTTTCAACCCTTTTCTTTCCATCGTTTTAATGATACCAACTTAAACGCAAAAACTTAACTGAAGTTTGACATCAGTCCCCGGCACCTGGGTGAGTACAATAGCTCCTCAAATTCTTTAAATAGTCAAGCTAAAAGTGTATCACCTTGATCCTGAATTTCATAAAGCATTTTCTTATGTTTTAGTAAAAGAGGTTTTAATATCCTCATTACACTTATTAAAACACTTTTATCTGTATTTTTCAGTTTCTGATATTTCTAATATTTCTTTACCAAATGACTGCAAGCTTTTCATAATGAGAAAACTAAGAAAATATTTTAAGACATATATCACTTATGTGACAAAGAAAATCTCTTGAATTATTTGTTGTCTTAGTATTATCATGGGTTTAAGCAGGTTACATTGGAGGACCAACAAACTTTTGTAACAAAGATAGAAACTCTCATGTATGAAATACAAACTCATAGCACTGATGGGCGTATTTGGTTACTGAATTGAAAATTTGATTACACTCATAAAGATTTATTTTGATTTGTTACATTAATGATTATATACTTACCATCGTGCTCAAGCTTATTATTATTACACTGATCATGTGACTGGTCATGTGATGGTGGTTTATGTTTCCATGGCAACTTATCAACAGAAGCTGATGGTGGCAGACTATCAACGCTTGATAACACTGTACTGGTGGATGTACTGAATAAATGCTCTTTAACAACCTGTAATAATTGTATTAAGTTTTAGTAAGTCCGAGAAACAAACAGCATGAGAAATATTATTATGCGGCAGCTCGTATGATATTCAGCTATTTTGTTTTAAGATACTTTGTGCGGAAACAATAATATTTTCAGGTTTTTCCCAGCTAATAAGGTTGTAAAACAAGCTATTGCAGCTTCGAAAGTAAGTGCAACAGATTGACTAATCTATTGTGAACGATAGTGCTCCGTGAAGCTATAACAGTTAAAGTTTGTTTGCACCAGGAAATAAGCTTGGAAAAACCCACATTTGCCAAGTTCTGGATAACATAAATTGTCAAAAAAATTCCCATATTGTAAAGTGTATGTAATTACAAATTTATTCTGTACTTGTTACATATTGATTTTGTCCCGTGTGTATTTAGAGGTTATACTCATCATTGTTGACAAGATTGTATTATTCAACAATAGGTAAAGATAATCTTATCAAGTCAATTTCAGCTTATTAAACACTAAATATATATCTTCAGAGAAAAGAAATAACTAATACCCAGCAATTAAGTAAAAACAAACTATTTTATGTACATCTTCCCTATTCATTTCAGGGAAAATACCTTGAAAAGATATATCAATACATTTTCACAATACAAGTAACTTAAAGAAACTAAGATCTTAAGTCATAAAGCAGACATACCTGCCCTATTGTTTCGCTGACACCTCTCCTCTTGTTTTTAGGACTACTTGAATGTTTAGGTTTTAAAACTTTTTCTTTCTTATCCTTCACTTCTACATGTCCCTCATCCCTCTTGGGATGTTCTTCTACTAAATGCTTTGAGTTTGTTTGCGAACACTCACTATCTGGACTAGATTTTTTACCATCTTTTACTGCTTTTCCTTGTCTATCTGATTTTTGACTCCCTTTGTCATTTTCTTTATCAGGTCTTGGTGATGCCTGACCATCAGAATTTTCAGCTCCAATGTCTTTTACCATATTTTCTATTTCTTGAATACTCCTCAGACCTGGCTGCCAGTCAGGATTCCCTTCATGCTCATTGACATGGTCTGTTTCACGTCCGGCCTTTTCAATATCAGGTTTTTCAGCTTCTAAATACTGTTTATATGCACTCATTTTATCATTTTCTTCATTTTTACTTGACGATGCATTATCTCTTGAATCTAAATTATCTCTGAAGTTATTTCTAGACCCACTGCTCGTTCCCTGTGTCTTGGTTCCTTGGATTTGACCCCTATGAGGACAGGGTAAAAGGTCACACATAAGGTGAAGATGGGGATCTACTTCCTCAACAGGTTCAGTTATGGGTCGGGGAGGGTGTAGGCTGGGACTGGCAATTTGAGGTTCATGAAATCTACTCCGATCTCCTGGCTGTGAAGACTGTAAATAAATTAAAACCAAATCTGAAAATATTTGTCAATTTCTCTAGACTTGTCACTTATTAACTTTGTTGAATGTTAAGCTGCACTGTTAACACCACATGAAAAACAGAAAATGAAGATTTGATGAACATAAAAATTGTGAATTTGTATTGGTTTGTCTATGGTAAGTGATAACATTTGTTATCGTAAATGTTTCATTTAAGGTAATCTAAATCATGAAATACATAATCATTTTACAAAACTAGTTTTACTAAAATATCAAAATAATCAACACATACTCTTTATAATATTTTAGTAAAATTTTAGGCTTTTATGCATAATACAATGGGGGAAAAAGAAGAAAAATATGTGCTGACAATAAAATTAATATCCTGAAAATTTATCATACATGTATGCTAAAACATGATGTATATATTATTATAATAATGTATTGTGAAAAATTCATACAAAACTACTATAAGAAAACATACTGGGTTTTACAAAACATTTAATTTCTCATATAATCAATACACTACTAGTTTTTTTAAAAATAAGCCTCATCATTATTGAGAAAATTATCTATGGGTAGACATACTTGTTCCTGGTGCTGAATTGCTGGAGCTGGAGTAAATTGTGAATGAGCCGGAACCCGGCCAGACAATCTCTGTTTAAATTCTTCTAATTTTTCATCTATTTTTTTCTGCAAATAAAACCAATGTACATGTACATAATTAATAGGAGGAATACACAATAGCATTCTGCCAAAATAGAGAAAATGTAATGGCATTATTTCTTAATCCTTTCCATCTTTCTTAACATATGAAGAGTTCAAGACAGGTGTCTGCTAATTATCACATAAAAACAGTGCAGGCAATGTACAATAAATTAACTAAATAGTAAATACTCTTTGTTACAACAAGTTACTTTTTGAAATAAAATTTAGAATTCAAGTTTACCTGTTGCTCTGTTTTATTGATAAAGTCAAACTGTGGAGTGTGTTGTGGTGTTGACTGTTGTGCTAGTTCCATCCGTCGCCTTAACCTCCATTGATGTAAAGGATCGTCTACAGATGGGGCTCTCTGACCCGGCATTGAAGGCTGGTACCCTGCATTATCAGATTTGGGTCTCTGACCAAATAGTGGGGGATTGGCATATTTTTGTTGTTCAGTTTTACTGTCTGAAAATGGGTGACATTGAACAATATTGAATCATGCATTTATATTGTATATAGAGGATATTGAATGAGTCTAAGTTTATTACTGAATACATTGAACAAGTTGAATGAAATCATATTATGTGAGCCTCTGGCGCACATAATATTATTTTATTCAATGAGTTCAATAAATAGAGGATATTCAAGTTCTTTTTATAAATACATGATTTATTTTCATCGAGTGGTATGAAAATAAATATTTCATGAGTGGCGGTAGGTAGCCACGAGTGAAATATAATAATTTTCATGCCACAAGATGAAAATAAATCATGTATTTATAGAAAAAACTTGAATTTTCTGTTTATTATATACATTTTTGTCCTTTTTTGACATTAAAATTTGAAAGACTTTCCCTTAAATTTTGTGTACCGGCAGAATTTTAAAGAAAGTAGTCCGGCAAGACACCAGTGAAAATACGGAAAATATGTTTCACTGCAGTGAAAAATAAATTTTTACAGTGAAAATACGGAAAATGAAAACACGCATTTTATTTCATCAATATTTCATTTATAAGTATATAATAAATTCAGTAATGAACTTACATAAATTTAATATTCTATTTATCACATACCAAAACTTAAGATAGTCTGAAGTGAAAAAGAACCATTTTTCATTGACACACCTATAGTATCGTATAACACAACATTTCGCGTGTCTTAAGGCTATGTTTGTATAATGCAAATGATGTCACATCAAAATATATGCACTCATAACTATAGATCTTCTTAAAATTACAACGGACAAAAGGAAATCAAATTTTCAAAACAATTATAATCTTTTAAAAATTCTCTACCTAGATAATTGGCAAATTTGGGTCTGTATGTATATTCCTCCAAACTAGACATGTCACTCGTATTGCTGCCTAGTCCTTCAGTAGATACTGCAGGGTCCGTGGATAACACAGTACTGGAACTGGAATGACAATTCTAATTCAGTTAATATGTATTTAAGCATATCTTATCTAGAAATTGATGTTATCTCTTCATGATTGCGTTATGATTTATATAAAGATATTAAGACACACACTTTTTTATTTGAAATATTCTCGACATGTGATATGACAATGGGATGTTTTTTCCCCTCTAATATTCTGTTGACAGTTTTTTTTTATTAAATCTATGGGAATAAGCAAGTACTTTATTCAACACATCCATAAATTATGTTTAACCATGAGCTGAAAATTAAGAGCAGTCTGTCCAGATTCTATTTTTAATGCTAATTACAAGAATCTTATTACAAATTCAACTGAGAACAGGCAGATTCAATGTTAAATAGTTTATTATACAAATACAGCAGTGCAAATCTTAACCCTAAGTAAAACAAACATTATATCTGAATGCTGTTAATGTTGCATGCATTCAATAGACTTGCTCTGGTAGCCAGAATATTTTGGTTTTTTCCCCAGCTAAACAGGAGGTACAAACAAGCTTATACAGTTACAGCTTCGAAAATTGGTATAACCACTGATTTATATATTGTAAACAGTAGTGCTCCGTAAAGCTTGTTTGTACTAGGGAAAAAACCATATTATTAAGCAGAAGTATTTCAAGAAAAATTAATCTTGAGAAAAATATACTAAGATTTCAAGAAAAGTAAAAATATTCACAATTCATGATATATCCAATTATTGACTCATTTTGCAGTATTTATCACCATATTTCTACAGTGTTACTAATATTATGACCTATTTTTAGTAATTTTTCATAGAGCTTAAAGTTTGCAATGTGAAAATTTTTTTCTTTGTTCACCTGGCAGTATTTTACTTTTTAATACATTTTAAAATTTTTCCATAAAAATAAGCATGAATCTGAAGGCAGGCTGCTTTAAAGAAAAATAACATAACAATTACATAACCAACCTTCTCTCCAGTAGTTTTTCTGCTCTCTCTTGGAGATCTATCGTTCTTTTATCACCTGGTGACTCCGGTATATGGTTTGAGAAACCCTGTAATGATTTTCTACGACTTTTGAATTAAAGAAGACTTTTCATATCACTTTTTTTAGTGACTACCCTAACTAAAATAAATGCAGTATTACTTATTTCTTATAAGTTAAGCTTTATCTGATCAAGGAATGAACTGTTAATTTCATCTAATTTTTTGATTTGGTAAACTTTATATAACGTGATTATGACGTCATAACGTCATGACGTCGTCAACGAACTGAGAAACGTCGGTATTGAAATAATGAAGTTACTTTGTTGATTATGACCATACATTAAAGTGAAATATATTTATTTAGTGTTGGCGTTAGCATTAATAAGGTGTTGGATTTAACTTAACAAGTGGTAGCAGAGCGTATTACCAGATCTTCTTACAAAGTGTAGACATTTATGGTGTATTAGGGCTTACATTTTGGTGATTGTGTTTAACATTTAAAGGGTTAATATGGCGACCAGGATAAATCCTCCAGTACTAACAAAAGGGAAGAAGTATGAGCGTTTTAAACAGGAATTGTTGGCATGGAGGGAGATTACAGAACTTAGAAAAGACAAACAAGGGATTGCAATTGCTTTATCATTACCAGAGGATGATGAATCTCAAATACGTGAAAAGGTGTTTGACCAAATACAAATCGAGGATTTAACAAGAGCTGTCCGTAAGACAGCGCGCTCGACTTTTTTAGTGCTTGCCTATAATACAAAACATTGACAGTTAAGGGCCATAATTCAAATAAAATCTTTGACAGAATTACCTTCTCCTGGACATGTTTGGGAATCATGATTGTAAACAAGTATTCCAACTTTCAAATTAATATCTCAAACAGTTCAGTCAAAAAGTGGACTGGTACTAAAAACTTAACCAAGATTCTAAGTCGATAAAAGGCCTTAATTTTTAAAACAAATCCTTGACAGAGTTACCTTCTCTTGCGTACAGATGGGGGTAATGATGTGAAATAGCATTAAAAGTTTCAAAGCAATATCTCAAAGGGTTAAGGCAATAAGTGGATTTTACCCATATTCAATGTATTTTCTAAGTCAAAAAGGGGCATAATTCTGTCAAAAACCTTGACAGAGTTATGTCCTCTTGTCTGTTGATGAAGGTCGTGATGGTAAACAAGTATGGTCAGTTTCAAAGCAATACCTCCAATGGTTTTGAAATAAAGTGAGGTGGTACAAAAAAACTTAACCAAGATTCTAAGTCGATAAAAGGCCTTAATTTTTAAAAAACAAATCCTTGACAGAGTTACCTTCTCTTGCGTACAGATGGGGGTAATGATGTGAAATAGCATTAAAAGTTTCAAAGCAATATCTCAAAGGGTTAAGGCAATAAGTGGATTTTACCCATATTCAATGTATTTTCTAAGTCAAAAAGGGGCATAATTCTGTCAAAAACCTTGACAGAGTTATGTCCTCTTGTCTGTTGATGAAGGTCGTGATGGTAAACAAGTATGGTCAGTTTCAAAGCAATACCTCCAATGGTTTTGAAATAAAGTGAGGTGGTACAAAAAACTTAACCAAGCTCAATACACTTTCTAAGTCAAAAAAGGGCCATAATTCTGTCAAAAACCTTGACAGAGTTATGTACTCTTGTCTGTAGATGGAGGTTATGATGGTGAACAAGTATGGTAAGTTTCAAAGCCATACTTGTAATACTTCTGAAATAAAGTGGGGTGGTACGAAAAACTTAACCAAGGTGTGACGCCAACGCTAACGCTAACGCCGACGCCGACGCCGGGGCGAGTAGGATAGCTCCCCTTTTCATAGAAAAGTCGAGCTAAAAAGTGATGATGGATTAACTATTCTTATTGGATTTTTGGACCAGCATCTTGCCAAAGATGATCTAACAGACAGTTTGGAAAAATTTGAAGATTTTGAAGATTTTAGTAGATATGAGGGACAATCGATTAATGAGTATGTAGCTGTATTTGATGCCAAGTATCGGAAAATTGAAAAGAAAAGTATGACATTGCCTGCTGAAATTTTGGCTTTTAAACTTCTTCGGAGGGCGAACATTTCCAAAGAGGAGCGGTTGCTAGTTTTGACTGGTATGAATTATGATGAAAAAGCTACATTGTACGAACAGGCTAAGAAGTCACTGAAAAAGTTTAAGGGTAGTGACATGAATATGTCAAGTGGCAGCTCAAGTGTCAAACTAGAACCTGCTTTTCTTGCAGCAAATGAAGAGGCACTACTTGCTGCAGGTTACTCCAAATTAAGAATTCAACAAGGGAATTATAATGGAGGCAGTAGAGGAAACTGGAAAAGGGGGAATTATGGAAAATCAGGCATGAAAGATTTTCAGCGACCAGACATTGCTCAAGACAGTCGCAGAAAAGGTCTAACAAAGAACATCAATCCTATTGGTCCAGATGGAAGAACGCTTACCTGCAAGTCTTGTGGTTCATATAGGCATCTGCTTCAGGCATGCCCCCATAGCTGGGAAAACATGAAGAAAGTGAATGCTGTTGAAGAGGAACATGCAGTATTGTTTACAGGTTACAACAAGGATGATGTTCAGCGTTTGGGTGTAGATGCTCGAAATTGTGCTGTTCTTGATAGTGCTTGCAGCAGTACAGTGTGTGGTAAAAACTGGATGAATAATTATATTCAGTCATTAGATGTTGAAGATAAACAGAGAGTAACACAATTAGATAGTCAGAGAGTTTTCAAGTTTGGTGGTGGGACATGCCTTACATCAAAAGGAGAATACTGTATACCTGCAGTGATTGCTGGCAAAGATGTTTTCATCAAAACAGATGTCGTGGAGTCAGACATTCCCCTGTTATTGTTTAGGACAGCCATGAAGAGGGCTGCTATAAAAATGGATCTAGAAAACGACACAGCTAGCATTATGGGAAAAGAGGTGGCCTTAAATTTCACAACTTCAGGTCATTATTGTATTCCAATAGATAAGACGGTAGAGGTACCTGTAGAAAGTGTTTGTGCTGTGAACTTTGATGATTTAAGCAAAAATGAGAGATACAAAACTTTTGTGAAATTGCACAGGCAATTTGCACACCCACCTAAGAAACGGCTGTCAGCACTTATGAAAGATGCAGGTATCTGGAGAGAAGAATTTGAGGAAACTCTTGATCTCATTAGTAACAATTGTGAACTTTGCAAGATGTATGCAAAAACTCCATCGAGGCCTGTAGTGGGTATGCCTATGGCTACCAAGTTCAATGAAAAAGTTGCGATGGATCTTAAGCAATGGAATGGCTGCTGGATTTTACACATTATAGATATGTGGTCCAGATATACAGTGTCAACGTTTATCGACAGAAAGAAGCCAGAAAAGATAATAGATGCACTGATGAGGGAATGGGTAGGAAAGTTTGGCGTAATGGGATCATTAATGACTGACAACGGGGGTGAATTCAATTCAGATGAAGTAAGAGAGATCACGTCAATACTGAACATTAAATTATGCACAACATCTGGACAAAGTCCATTTCAGAATGGTTTATGTGAGAGAGTGCATGCTATAACAGATATGATGCTGATTAAGTTACAGGCAGATTGTGGGAAAGTAGACTTGCAGACGTTACTATCATGGGCGAATATGGCAAGAAATTCTTTACAGATGTGGAATGGTTTTAGCAGTCATCAGCTTGTTTTTGGGCAGAACCCAAATATTCCAAATATTATGAGTGACAACTTGCCTGCATTACAAGGGACCACTAGCAGTGAGGAATTTGCAAGGCATTTGAATGTTTTGCATGCTGCTCGGAGAGCATTCATACAGTCTGAGGCAGATGAAAGAATAAGGAGAGCTCTACGTAATAAAGTAAGGGCTTCTGAACAAGTTTTTGAACATGGTGATAATGTTTTCTACAAGCGAGAGGGCAAAGAGCGTTGGCTTGGACCTGGAAAGGTGGTATTTCAAGACGGAAAAGTGGTGTTTGTTAGGCATGGAGCAGTGTTTGTGCGAGTATCACCTAACAGGCTGCAGAAGGTAAATGATTATTTGAGTTCTGATTATCATGAGGCGGCAAACAGTTATGAAAGTTTAAACGATGAAAGAAGCAATGCTACTGGGAGCACATCAGCTGACCAGCAAACCTCAGGTCAGACAAATATACAGACCTTAAATGAGGATATACCATCCTCAGATTCAGATTCGAGTAAGAACTTGCATTCAAACTTGTCAGATACAGATAGATTATCAACTAATTTGGATAACAACAGTCATGATATTTCACCTGAAAAAAGGACATTGAAGGCAAACGACAACATACGATATAGAACACAGAATACAGATCAGTGGATACAAGCAAAAATACTAGGAAGGGCTGGAAAAGCAACAGGCAGAAACAAGTTTTGGTATAATATAGAGGAAGTTATCAACAAAGAGAAGCGGAGTATTAATTTAGAAGCAGTTCAATGGAAATTGGTAACAAATGAGGTAAATTTGGTAGTGAACCAGACTTGTGCTGATGATGAAGTTACATCTGCTAAACTTTGTGAACTTCAGAAGCTGCAACACTTTGGCACATATGAAGAAATTCAAGACTTTGGTCAAGTTACTTTGTCAACAAGATGGGTGATAACTCACAAAAATGGTCAAACAAAGGCTCGACTTGTGGTACGCGGATTTGAGGAAGAATATGTGATGCAAAGTGACAGTCCTACAGTGGGAAAAGGAACACTTAGAACATTTCTTACGCTTGCAGCTGTAAATAATTGGACTGTAAAAACCACAGATATTAAATCAGCGTTTTTGCAGGGAAAAGAAATAAGGAGGGAAGTTTACCTTAAACCCCCCAAGGAAAGTGACACTGCCACTGGAATAATTTGGAAACTCAAACATGGACTTTATGGCCTCAAAGACGGAGCAAGACAATTCTATTTAAGTGTGAAAGAAGAGTTAATTAGATTGGGGTGTCAGATATCAGAGATGGATCCAGCGATGTTCTTTCTGCACACTGGAGACAAGCTAAAGGGCATTATTTGTTGCCATGTTGATGACTTTCTTCATGCTGGGGACGAATGTTTAGAGAAGGTCCTGACTAAGTTACGTAAACGATTTGTAGCAGGAAAAATTGAAGAAAGACAGTTTGATTATATCGGGTTCAGGATTTCTCAGGAGAGCAAAGGAATTATTTTGGACCAATCTAGATATGTGGAAAACATAGAGAGCAGACAGATTGACACAAAGAGAGTAAAGAATAAACAGGAAGTATTAACATCTGAAGAACAAACTATTTTCAGGAAAATCATTGGTCAGATTAACTGGGTGGTGCAAGGAACAAGGCCCGATTTGGCATTTGAGTTGATAGACTTGAGCACTAAACTCAAGGAAGCTACAATGAGTGATCTGTCTCAGGCGATCAAAGCAGTAAACAGATTGAAAGACATCAAGTCTGTTATTAGATTCCCACAATTGAGCAACTTTGTAGGTGATTGGAAGATTGCAGTCTTCACAGATGCATCTTTGTGCAACATAAATTCTGGAACAGGGAGCACTGCGGCTTATATAGTATGGTTAATGGACACTTCTGGAAAATGTTGTCCGCTTTCCTGGCATACCAACAAAATAAAAAGGGTAGTACGATCAACAATTGCTGCTGAAGCACTCAGTTTACAAGAAGGATTAGAATGTGGGTATTATTACAGACAAATGATCGAAAACACAATACCCATAATTGCTTATGTGGACAATAGAAGTGTAATAGAAGCTGTGAATTCAACCAAGTTAGTAGATGACAAGCGTCTTCGTGTAGATATAGCTGCAATCAGTGAATCTTTGTCCAGAAATGAAGTCAAAGAAATTCGATGGTGCCCAGGGAAACATCATTTGGCTGACTGTATGACTAAGCGTGGGGCATCTGGATATGATCTGCTGAGTGTAATACAAGAAGGAACAATTTCAAAAGATTTTATATAGACTTGTAGAATTTTTAACATTTTTATATCTTACATTTTTTTTAATGACTCAAAACATCACAGAAAAGAAGAAAAGAAAGAAAGTATAATTAATGTTAATTTCATCTAATTTTTATTTGGTAAACTTTATATAACGTGATTATGACGTCATAACGTCATGACGTCGTCAACGAACTCAGCAACGTCGGTATTGAAATAATGAAGTTACTATGTTAATTGTGATCATACATTAAAGTGAAATATATTTATTTGGTGTTGGTGTTAGCAATAATCGGGTGTTGGATATAACTTAACATGAACTAACTACACAACTTACCATGTATATCACTATTAGCCGATCAAAATCGTACTGATCGGGTACTGTAAAACACTTATTATTCGCGAGAAATTTATTTTCGCTAATATTCGCGAGTTTTCTAAGACGCGAATTCATATTTCTCGCGAATATTTCACTTTGTCTATACACTTGTCCGAAAATGAACACTATCCGAAAATGCGTACACATGGATATATATCTGCGGGAAAGTATCGAAGCCAGTTCTAGTTACATCATGTAGCTATTCAAGTGTTTCAGAATAACTGTTTTGGTATTTGGTACAAATGCTTTAGCACCTGCGAGTTGTTTGTAACATTTCTATTTATTGTATCCTATTGTATTGTACTACAGTTTAAGCCGGAGGGTAAACATAATTGTTTACTACAGGTTAGGCAAATTACAGTACCATTTAATTGATTTTCGTCTGCTTGCCTTTGAATGGCTAATCAGTGAAACTTTAACACTTTGCATTACTAGTAACAATGCTAGAGGCACGGAGTATAATCAGGGACAATACATGACAAACACAGTGAACACATATCAAATAATTATCAAACTTTGTTGACATATTTTTAGACAGACGGTTTCACTTAACAAGAAGATTAGCAAGCTATCAGAAAAATCGATACGGATATAAATGCATCGTCGCACAATAAACGACGCAAAGTTAGTGAACGGACAGGACAGAAATTATCCGAATGACATCGGGTTTCCGGTTTCACATTTTTCGGGAAGACGCGAATTCATGTTGACGCGAAATAATTATTTTGGACATTTTGCCTCAAATTCGCGAAATAAGGTTCTCGCGAAAAATAAGTGTTTTACAGTATTTAATATGATACTGGTTTTAGAATTTCCAGCTATTTACAGCAACAGCTACCAGGATTATAGAAAAATATTTTAATCCAAGAATACTTCGGTAGTTTTTCAGCTCATTAGCAAATCTTAAGAAAGCAAATTCGCAGATGTTGTGAAATTGGAAAAATCAAAAATTTAAAATTTAGTTAATTACTGTGATAAAAAAATAGACCTGTTTCTCAGCAAGCTTCTGTAGTTGTTTATATTTTTCTAGATTGACCGTTGTCAGAGGTGTGGTAGAAGAGGGACCGGGTATTTCCTCCTCCTTCCTTTCACGTTTTCTCTCCCGCACCTCAGTAGGTGGCGCTCCATTTGACAACCACCAGAAATCCTGAGATGACGGTTGAGATTTTCCTTCTCTCTCCTCTCGACTCATAGGGGCGCTGTTCCTGAATCTATTTATATACCTGTTGATGTGATAAATAATAAAGTTGCACTGAATACATGTATATCAATAATACATCCATGAAACTTTACAAAGCAATTAAAATTTTGCCAATGAGTGTATTGTTGTGTTTAAAGATTTTAAGGGCCAAATGCTGTATCAAATGAAATATTTTTATAAAATGTACGAGCAGTAAAATTATGTTCCTTCTTCAATCTTATAGTTGATTCTCAAAGAAGTTATACCATAGAATGTCTCTGTTATTTAACACACATGAATAGTGTACATGAACAGAATAAATTGCTCCAGAACAAAATAATATGCTGCTACTTTTATGCAGGGTTTTAACCATTCAGTAATGATTTCATGCATTAACCATCCCTTAACATTTGAGCCGCGTCACGACAAAACCAACATAGTGCGTTTGCGACCAGCATGGATCCAGACCAGCCTGCACATCTGCGCAGTCTGATCAGGATCCATGCTGTTCGCTTACCAACTCTATTACAAGTAGAGAAACCGATAGCGAACAGCATGGATCCTGATCAGACTGCGCAGGCTGGTTTGGATCCATGCTGGTCGCAAACGCACTATGTTGGTTTTGTTGTGACGCAACTCATTTCACTTTCATTTTAAGCAGGTTAAGGGTTCACAACAATAGCAAATTTTATCAGACTGCACAGATTTGCAGATCAGCCTGGCCCTATAACTGGTGGTAGGATATAAATGTCATTATACACATTAGCATTAATAAAGTTAAAATTACCTTTGTAAAACAGATCCATCAGTTTCTGTATTAACATCTGGTTGCATGCCGCTAGGTCTTCCACCTTGACCTGTATCTTTTACAGGTATTTTACTCTTAAATGGTTTCCCTGTGAACAAAAATTTTAAAAGTTTCATTTGTGCTGTGAAAAAAAAATCATATATAATCCATTAAAACAACATTTCTTCAACACTGGTGTAAGTCGGCATCAATAATATCAGTACAGATCCCCTAAAAGGAAGAAATCTTTTGAGTCAAAGTCTAACTACAGTAGGGCCACTACCAATAAAGACAGCATATAGAAACCTAGGGCCATTTCATCAATCATTCTAGCTTGTATGAACAAATGTATGAAAAACTTCAAAATTTCATTTTTAGGCATTTTTTTAACATTTACCAGGTTGCATCCATTTTGAAATACTATTTATTGCTATTAAACTTAAATTATTTTGTTTTATTTTTTGATAGTTTAAAATATAAAAGACTGCTGGGGTTTTATTTTGGTGGAACCATCAGACAATAGTTTGAAGGGTAATACTAAAATTTTCAATTTATTCAATTACCACAAGCTTGTTTCATTTCTGAATACTCATTGAACTATTAATGCACTCTATAAATGAAATAATATTTTTTTATCATAAATGTTCCATATAAAATCTGATCATTTCAATCATTTATGAGACACGCATTTCACAGGAGAGCAATTTTTTGCTAAGACTTACCAGTATCTCGAGATGCAGTCACTCCAGTACCCTGAGATGCTGATCCAGGCATTCTTCTCCGCTCCTGCAGTGAGGCTTTATCCATGTTTGGATCAGAGTTAGGCTTCGTTCCAATCAAGTTGTCTATACGACACAGATATTCATGAAGCTGAAACTGACTGTCATCTTCATAGCCATTCAAGCTGAAATTAAATTAATTAATCAATCATGCTGAATTTTTTGCTCACTTTTAGAGATAAACTAACACTCAGACCTCCATGAATTTCCTATAAAGATGTCCAGCCAATAGCTACTTGATGTAATTTCATTTACATACTATTCTTCAAGAATAATTACTAATTACTATCTTTTTATAGGCAAGATTGCTGCATGTGGTGCTTACCCTAGTCTGTTAAGGAACAACGCCTGTCAATAATCTTGGGTCCCAAATATTCTAAATTAAACAAGAGCTGTCAGTAGGACAGCAACGCTCGACTATTCTTAGTGCTTGATAGTAAAACAAATGCTTGATACAGTTACCTCCTCCTGTTAACAGGTTGGGGTCATGATGGTGAACAAGTGTGCAAAGTTTCAAAGCCATATGTCAATGGACTTTGAAAATATTTGAACTATTACAAAAACTTTAACATAAATTCTAAGTCGAAAAGGGGCATAATTCTGTCAAAACGCTTGATAGAGTTACCTCCTCCTGTTTACAGGTTGGGGTCATGATGTTGAACAAGTGTGCAAAGTTTCAAAGCCATATGTCAATGGACTTTGAAAATATTTGAACTATTACAAAAACTTAAACATATATTCTAACTCGAAAAAGAGGCATAATTCTGTCAAAATGCTTGATAGAGTTACCTCCTCCTGTTTACAGGTTGGGGTCATGATGTTGAACAAGTGTGCAAAGTTTCAAAGCCATATGTCAATGGACTTTGAAAATATTTGAACTATTACAAATACTTTAACGTAAATTCTAAGTCGAAAAAGGGGCATAATTCTGTCAAAATGCTTGATAGAGTTACCTCCTCCAGTCTACAGGTTGGGGTCATGATGGTGAACAAGTGTGCAAAGTTTCAAAGCCATATGTCAATGGACTTTGAAAATATTTGAACTATTACAAAAACTTTAACACAAGAGCTGTCGGTAGGACAGCAACGCTCGACTATTCTTAGTGCTTGATAGTACGAAGAATGCTTGATACAGTTACCTCCTCCTGTTTACAGGTTGGGGTCATGATGGTGAACAAGTGTGCAAAGTTGCAAAGCCATATGTCAATGGACTTTGAAAATATTTGAACTATTACAAAAACTTTAACGTAAATTCTAAGTCGAAAAAGGGGCATAATTCTGTCAAAATGCTTGATAGAGTTACCTCCTCCTGTCTACAGGTTGGAGTCATGATGGTGAACAAGTGTGCAAAGTTTCAAAGCCATATGTCTATGGACTTTGAAAATATTTGAACTATTACAAAAACTTTAACGTAAATTCTAAGTCGAAAAAGGGGCATAATTCTGTCAAAATGCTTGATAGAGTTACCTTTTCCTGTCTACAGGTTGGGGTCATGATGGTGAACAAGTGTGCAAAGAGTGCAAAGTTTCAAAGCCATATGTCTATGGACTTTGAAAATATTTGAACTATTACAAAAACTTTAACGTAAATTCTAAGTCGAACAAGAGCTGTCGGTAGGACAGCATGCTCGACTATTCTTAGTGCTTGATAGTAAAAAAATGCCTGATACAGTTACCTCCTCCTGTTTACAGGTTGGGGTCATGATGGTGAACAAGTGTGCAAAGTTTCAAAGCCATATGTCAATGGACTTTGAAAATATTTGAACTATTACAAAAAACTTTAACGTAAATTCTAAGTCGAAAAAGGGGCATAATTCTGTCAAAATGCTTTGATAGAGTTACCTCCTCCTGTTTACAGGTTGGGGTCATGATGTTGAACAAGTGTGCAAAGTTTCAAAGCCATATGTCAATGGACTTTGAAAATATTTGAACTACTACAAAAACTTTAACGTAAATTCTAAGTCGAAAAAGGGGCATAATTCTGTCAAAATACTTGATAGAGTTACCTCCTCCTGTTTACAGGTTGGGTCATGATGTTGAACAAGTGTGCAAAGTTTCAAAGGCATATGTCAATGGACTTTGAAAATATTTGAACTATTACAAAAACTTTAACGTAAATTCTAAGTCGAAAAAGGGGCATAATTCTGTCAAAATGCTTGATAGAGTTACCTCCTCCTGTCTACAGGTTGGGGTCATGATGGTGAAACAAGTGTGCAAAGTTTCAAAGCCATATGTCAATGGACTTTGAAAATATTTGAACTATTACAAAAACTTTAACGTAAATTCTAAGTCGAAAAAGGGGCATAATTCTGTCAAAATACTTGATAGAGTTACCTCCTCCTGTCTACAGGTTGGGGTCATGATGGTGAACAAGTGTGCAAAGTTTCAAAGCCATATGTCAATGGACTTTGAAAATATTTGAACTATTACAAAAACTTTAACGTAAATTCTAAGTCGAAAAAGGGGCATAATTCTGTCAAAATGCTTGATAGAGTTACCTCCTCCTGTCTACAGGTTGGGGTCATGATGGTGAACAAGTGTGCAAAGTTTCAAAAGCCATATGTCAATGACTTTGAAAATATTTGAACTATTACAAAAAACTTTAACGTAAATTCTAAGTCGAAAAAGGGCATAATTCTGTCAAAATGCTTGATAGAGTTACCTCCTCCTGTCTACAGGTTGGGGTCATGATGGTGAACAAGTGTGCAAAGTTTCAAAGCCATATGTCAATGGACTTTGAAAATATTTGATTTATTACAAAAACTTTAACATAAGTGGTTACGCCGACGCCGACGCCGACGCCGACGCTCGGGTGACTGCAATAGCTCTACTTATTCTTATCGAATAGTCGAGCTAAAAAGGGGCATAATTCTGTCAAAATGCTTGATAGAGTTACCTTCTCCTGTCTACAGGTTGGGGTCATGATGGTGAACAAGTGTGCAAAGTTTCAAAGCCATATGTCTATGGACTTTGAAAATATTTGAACTATTTACAAAAACTTTAAACGTAAATTCTAAGTCGAAAAAGGGGCATAATTCTGTCAAAATGCTTGATAGAGTTACCTCTTCCTGTCTACAGGTTGGGGTCATGATGGTGAACAAGTGTGCAAAGTTTCAAAGCCATATGTCTATGGACTTTGAAAATATTTGAACTATTACAAAAACTTTAACGTAAATTCTAAGTCGAAAAAGGGGCATAATTCTGTCAAAATGCTTGATAGAGTTACCTCCTCCTGTCTACAGGTTGGGGTCATGATGGTGAACAAGTGTGCAAAGTTTCAAAGCCATATATGTCTATGGACTTTGAAAATATTTGAACTATTACAAAAACTTTAACGTAAATTCTAAGTCGAAAAAGGGGCATAATTCTGTCAAAATGCTTGATAGAGTTACCTCCTCCTGTCTACAGGTTGGGGTCATGATGGTGAACAAGTGTGCAAAGTTTCAAAGCCATATGTCAATGGACTTTGAAAATATTTGAACTATTACAAAAACTTTAACATAAGTGGTTACGCCGACGCCGACGCTCGGGTGACTGCAATAGCTCTACTTATTCTTATCGAATAGTCGAGCTAATAAGTGGTTACGCCGACGCCGACGCTCGGGTGACTGCAATAGCTCTACTTATTCTTATCGAATAGTCGAGCTAAAAAGGGACACAACTTGTAAAAAATAATGCTTTCTGGATTATACCCCTTGGCTTAAAGCGGCAGCTTGTCATGATAAGCAAGAAGTTCAAGTTTGGTGTTGATCTGTGCAGAAATTATAACAGCTAAGCTGAGCTTGACTTTTTCTTCCAAACAGACACAAGGATCACGTTTCTAGGCGACTTGAGCAACAAAGTCACCTTGTCTCTCTCCATTTCGCCTGGATCGCTTAGAAAAGCGAAAAAGTCGCCCTAATTTTCGATAAACGCTTACAATAATTTTGAAGTCTTTACCAGCTCTGTATTGTCTACGCTCCTCCTATTTCTGACAAACTAATAATGACCCATGATCTCCTTTAAATGAAATGAAACCTCTGCACTGCTTCTAGAAATGTGATCATAGACCCTAGAGAATATATTGATGTTAATATTGTAAAATACTTAACTTGAAGGGAAAATAACTGTTTATTTATATAGAATTACCTCACTGATGATGGCCTTTCGCTACAAGGCCATGACTCATCAAAGTTTACTTCATCGTCTGTGTCATTTGGCCTACTTGGTTTTGTTTGGTACATGTTAGTACCTCTTAAAAACATCTCATCTAATGGACTTATTTTATCGTCTTCTTCATTATTTATTTCAGCATCATCTGTGCTAGAACTTGGTTTTATAGAAATCTGAAACAAATATGAATTTGGAAATTCTAAGACTATGTTATAACTGTGACAGTTGCCCTATATTTTTCATTTTGCAATTACATCTAGAAAATCAATTGACTTTACTATTGCCTTATATTTTTCTTTTTGCAATTACATCTAGAAAATAAATTGACTTTACATATATGTTTAAATTAGGATTACAGAAGTAATTGATAATCAAAGAATTTGGCTGCTTGAAATTAAATACTGGTGCAGAAAAAAAACAACACACACACAAATTTGAATAGAAATACATGACTGTAATATGCTAAAAAAAGTCTAAAATTTAAACATTTTTTCTTTCTGAATGTTGCATGGTTCATTAGGAATTGAGATTCATATCTTGAACATAGTTCAACATATTGACATTATACATTATATAAGCAAAACAACTCACAGATTTTTCAGTCTTATTTAATGGCCTCTCTGGAGAGGGATGGTAATATGCCTTTGGTAAAGGGTCCACAGCAAATGGGTTTCTGGAAAATAAATTGAATAGGGTTCTTATCAGTCAATAAAATCTTGAAAATACAAGCTGTCCCAAAAGTTGGCGACAAAAGATATTGGTGGTTCATTTTTTTCACCAGAAATTAACAAATGTCACAGGGTGAGAAAAATGTGCAGCCTGTCCAGGACATGAACTTGGGACCAACTGAATTCCCTTCAACAATTCTACTGACAGAGCTATCTGGCCGCTTACACATCTTCTCCCCTAGTGAACAGTTCTGAGCTGTGACAGTCACATACTCGCCCGCTCTATTGATATTGTTTCTGAATTTCTCAGTCTTAAAGAGCAATGCTAATTAAACTCTGACCTATATGCAGTGACAGCCCCCCCCCATTGGGCGCCAAATGTCACAGGGTGAGAAAACTGTGTAAGCCTGACCGTGACTCAAACTAGGGGCCACAGCGTACAGTTATCTAGATTTGTTCTGACCAATTTAGCAACATATTGCAATCTTGATAGCATTGAGTTCTACCTTCTATAAAGTTATAAATTTATGCCATCCCTAATCTGGCATCTTAAAGATTAGATCTGCCCATTTTGAAGCATTGTCCATAGAAATTAGAATTAGACAGACTGTTACTCTTTTCAAACATGACATTTTTTTTTGAAATACACATCAACTGTAACTTTACATAAAGGTATCTGTGTAATATTAGATACAGACATAATTCAAATTTATTTAATTAGATTATTCTATGAAATTAAAAATCTGACAAGCTGGAACATGTCATTATCAATTTGCCATTTACAAATGTGAAAACCTTTCATTCAACGCTTACCCATTTCGCATATTTGAACGTTTACTACTCATACTTTCAGAATGAGCTATAAGTGATTAATAAGTTGTGATATAAATACGTGTACTTAATGTTTCTATCAAAAAGGAAAATTTAAAGCAACCGCTGATTTTCCAAATGTTTACTTATAGGGAAAAGGCAGAGGGAGTCCAAATAATTTTGGATAAATGCCCGTACAATTACGTACCGTATTACGAGGAAACCCAAAGCAAATCAGCCCTAGATAGCTCGACAATCGGACTCTTTCTACAATATCCGTTGCATAATATTACCTGTTTTCTCCTTTCTTTATGTTATAAGCCGCTTTAAGGGTCAATAAGAATAAAGTAAATACACACACAGACAAAATTCTGCTCTGTTCTGCTAAGTTATGTCTTTCCAGGGTCTTTCAAATAGTCTATTCATTTGAAAGGCCCTGTCTTTCCTACCATTCTACAGTAGCGGATTTCTATGACAAAATAACAGTACAATTACACATATGACTTATTGCATAGTTTTCATTTTCTGTTTTCCGCCCATGGATCCGTCCGCCTGTTAGCAATTTTGTATCTACTGTCTATCTTTTGAACCGATGGAAGGAAATCCCAAGCATCAGTGACCACAATATTGTTGTTCAAAGTGAAAGTCAAGACATCCGCAAGGATAAGTTACTAAAAACTTCTCAATAACCTAAACCCTCATAACGCCTGTGGTTCGGATAAAATTAAACCAATTGTTCTCAACACACTTTCCAAAGAGCTATCTCCAATCCTATAGAGTATAGAGGTTATCTTCCAAAAGTAAATTAATTGATGAAGGCTCATAAACATCCCCTTCAAGAAAGTCGATAAGTCATTCCCTGCCAATTATATGCCAATTTCCTTAACATGTGTTTTGTGTAAGGTTATGGAACACATAGTTTCCTCTTCCATTGTTAAACACTTCACCAACGATAACTTCCTTTACCATCTCCAACATGGTTTCAGGGAAAAAGTCATGTGTTACGCAACTTTTTATGCTGGTAAATAACTTGGTCACCTCAGTATATGAGAAAAACACAAGTAGATCTGATTCTTTTAGATTTCAGTAAGGCTGTCGACAAAGTCAGTCATGAGAATTAAAGTACTGCTGAAAATACATGACTATGGAATCAGAGGTCAAACACTAAAATGGGTAAAAAGTTTTTCAGATAACAGGCTGCAGTCTGTTGTGCTTGATGGCAGCCGCTTTAACCCCATCTCAGTATCCTCATGTCTCCTCAAGGCTGTGTTCTAGGACCCCTCCTGTTTCTCGCCTATATAAATGACCTCCCACAAAACATAAATTCTAAGGTTCGCTTGCTTGTAGACGACACTGCAATATACATTGCTCTGACATCTGCAAACCAATCAGTCACCCTCCAAAATGACCTAAATCGGTTAGATACCAACACAATACTACCTCCATGGAGACCAATTAGAATCGGTTACCTCAGCTAAATACCTAGGCGTGGATATATCAGAAAATCTCACGTTGGATACCCATATAGACAGGACATCTAAGAAAGCAAACAAAACCTTAGGATTCCTACGCAGAAACATAAAGGTTAAATCCCAATCCATTAAGTCCATTGCTTACCAGACGTTAGTGAGACCCAAGTTTGATTATGACTCCGAAGTATAGTCTCCCCACATCAAAATACAAATAGATCAAATCGAAAATGTCTAAAGAAGAGCAGCCCGATGGATAAAGCTAGATTATGGTCAGACCTCTAGCGTCACGGAATGCTTCACTCCCATTAAGCTTAAAAAACTGGAACTCAAATGTATAGATGCTAGCTAGGTTATCCCTTTTCTATAAGATTCACCATGGTCTGGTTGCTATCCCCATAGAAGAATATTTGACACCCCTCTCCCGAACTTCACGCCATGGCCATCCCTTATGCTATAGATTATTCATAGCAACTTCAGACTATTATAAATTCCCATTCTTTCCTAGGACGGTATATCACTGGAACCACCTACCCCCTGCAGTAGCCCTACTCCCTACCCCAGAGCAGTTCAGTGCAGCCATAGCTTCATCGAACATGTTTCATTTAACATTTTTAATATTCTTTTATCCCCTTTTAAACAATTCTTTTTAACTTTCTTGCGATTTTTGACGCACAGACATATCTACGTCCCCGGGAGGGGTTTGACATAGGTAGGTAGGTAGGGAGGGAGGGAGGCAGGGAGGGAGGCAGGCAGGCAGGTAGGCAGATAGGTAGATACATGTAGGTAGGCAGAAATGATCCTTATAATGAGACGATGTGGAGAACGCAGGTTTAAAAATAAAAATTGACCCTACCCAGGGTGTCAATTCATTTATGTACACACATATATATAGGAAAACACATATAAAAATCTGGAAAAGGGGTGAAACTACAGTATCAAGAGCTTAGACTGACATATGGCATGGAATATCTACAAAAATGATATTGATCATGTACTGCTTGGATCAATATATTGGTCACATAGAACAGAACGGTTTGATTAGCCTGTTCATGGATGGTGAAAAGCCGTACAGTGAAACCTGTCGTTCATGTCATGCCACACTTTTTTTCCTGTATGGGATCTCCTAGATCTCCGTTAAGGGAGGGTGTCACGTAGATCTATAATACTAGATAAAGAGCTTCTTTTCCGGTAGACTACGTAAACGAAATTTTATCCTTATCGGACCGAAAAGTTGCGACTTGTAAACGTTCACGTGCAATATATTTCAAGAAGTATTTTGTCGATTTCTCGATACATTTGAAGGTATTGATTTTAAACAAGTAAACTTTATCACAATATCTGTGTGTATATGAAGCTATTTCTGTTTATCAATGATATTTGGATCTGATGATAGTTACATGTCATATTTAAGAGTACCAATTTCGGATAACACTTCAATTCGGTCAGAACAAAGTATCCATTTGTTCTGGCATACAAATCTTTTGAAGCCCCTATTTGTAACATTCTATTATTTAAACTGATGTGAGATTAAAGTTTTGAATTAAACCTGTTATGAAACTAGCCAGAATAAGACATGTTTATTCCTAGTCCAATATATTAGACGTTACAGGCCAGACCTGGGGTAATCACTAATCGTAATCATCAATTTTTTAATTGATTACATGATTACAATGTAATCATCATGTAATTGATTACCTTGCTCAAAATTGATTACATTAATTGTAATTAATCAATTACAGCTTAAATTCAGTCTGTATTTATGATTACAATTTGATTGATGTTGATTACTTTCAGATTTTATATGAAACTATTGAAATTCAAATGATTTATTTCACATGTTACAGTTTAACTAAGGTATTAAACTATCAAGTGAGACATTTTAAGACATCATTCACAATGAAGAAATAAGTTTTAATCCAAACAGTTAACCAAATTCTAATTAGATAGACATTATTGTTTGGCTGGTATTCTAACCAAACTGTCAAATCATTGGATTTATGATGTCTTTGAATTTCCTAAAGAAACATCTTGAAATGTGACAGCACAGTGCAAATTGTGCCCTAGGAAGATAAATGGATACACTAAGTCACATTCAAATTTCATTACCCATATAAAGGTATGTTAAATTTGATAACTTCTTTACTTTGTATATTCTAGAGTTTATGTCGGATGCATATTACCATATTTTAATTATATGCAACAGTTATTTTGTAAGGTGATAGACAATGTGTTTATATTATAATTGATACTGTTGTACCATTGAGGTGTTTGTACACAAATTGATAATTTCTTTGTAAAGTCTATTGTCTCTTTGAATTCCCATACAAAAATTTATTGTTTTCACACCTGTTATATACAGCATACTGTACAAGTGACACAAAATTTCTGTTGCAGAGAGTTCATTATGAAACCTACACCAAGAAGACTGAGGACCATTCTTGCATCATCGGCCCCTGTAGAGCGTTTGTTTAGTATTGCGGGTTAAATTTTCCGTCCTGATAGATGCAGTCTGACTGACAGATGGTTTCATGAACTTATGATGCTAAAGTGCAATGCTAAAATATGATAAAGTGATGTGACAGTAACTAAAAGTGTGTTAAATTGATGACGGTTGATGACCTGGAAATCCTTTGTGTATATAATGTTTATATTAAATAGCATGAAGAAACTTTTGTTTATTGTTATACATTGGATGTAATCAATTATCAATCAATTACTTCCTTAAAGTAATTGTAATGTAATTGATTACAGAGGCAAGTCTGAGTAATCAATTGTAATCAATTACAATAAAATCTGAAAGTAATTGTAATTAAATCAATTACTGATCAATGTAATCATCCCCAGGTCTGTTACAGGCTTGTTATAGTTTGTCGGTCAAGCCTGACGTCTAATAGTGATTGCTCAAAAACGCATAGCATCATAAAAAATTAAAAAAATGTCTATTGTCTTGCCTTTCAAGCTTTATTCAAAAGCTTATCTTCTTTTCTTTCAATTTCATGCTCAATCATACACAAAAAATCTCAAACCATGTACTTATCAATTCAAAGCAGTGCATGGTTTTTTTTCACTTTTGGGGGAAGGGGGTCGGTGCCCTTTGGAGGTGGAAAAATGCAACAGGAGGGGGAATTTTATTTGTTTATTTATTTTATATTGTTTTCTTTTCGGTAGAAAAGGGGAGCAACTCTTACAACACAAGTTTAAAATACATGGCTGTTTGTAAATATACAGATCTAAAATATTGATGCGTTGCATGTTAAAACTTGTTGGGACGCTGAGAGTACATGTAGCTCCCCTTACCAACCCGAGTATAATTTGTAAACAACCTTGCTCAACAGTAAGTCTAACAGGCATAAAATAAAACATTTTTGGCAGTTAGTTGCAAATAAATGATATTCATTGCAGGCAAATTCGGGCTATCGTATAGGGGGAAATTTCGGCTTTGAGGGGGAAAAAACACTATTTTGAGGGGGGAATGGGGCCGAATTTCGCGAATATTTTGGTGGAAAAAAACCTGCAAAGTCATCATACATAGATGAAATTTATTTCATTACCTTTGTTAATATAAACTCTCA